AATTCTCTCAAGGAGCCACACAGATAGGTCAACGGTTGCTAGCAAGCAAGCTCAGCATTCAGGAGACCTGAGTTTGGTCCCAGGCACCATACAGTACCCTAAGAAACTCAGTGGAGTGCCACTGAGTATGGCCCCCAAACTACCCTCACCAAAATAAATCAATGACGCTCAAGAAGGCTTGGGATGTGGCTCAGTAAAGCTGCACCTCACACTTGTGAGTCCCTGAGTCAAATCCCTGGTATTCATCCAGAACAAAGGGAAAAGGAGAGGGAGAGGGAGAGGGAGAGGGAGAGAGAAAGGGAGAGGAAGAAAGAGAGAGAGAGAGAGAGTTCAAATTATTAAGAGAGAATAAAGAAACTGTTTTGGCTAGTATCTTCAAAGGCTGACTTAACCAAACATATTCAAGAAACTAAGTTTACTAAGAAAGCCTAAGAAAGTTCAAGCACGAGGGCTGGAGCAATAGTATAGTGGGTAGCGCATTTGCCTTGCACACGGCCAACTCAGGTTCGATTCCCAAAATTCCATATGGTCCCATGACTTCCACGAGTAATTCCTGAGTGCAAAGTCAGGAGTAACCCCAGGGTCACACTTCCAGGTGTGACCCAAAAAGCAAAAATAAAAAAAAAAGTTCAAGCACTTCTTTTCTTTAGAACCATATTTTTCATAAACTTAGTGAATTCAAGTGAATCTTCAAATTAACTTAACGAAGGTATGACTTATAAAAATAATCACGGGGTCAAAGTGATAGTTCAGTGGGTAGCGTACTTGCCTTACACATGGCCAACATGGATGGGTTCAATCCCCAGCACCCCATATGGTCTCATGAAAATGATTCCCACAAGGAATTATTCCTGAACACAGAGCCAAGAATAAGCCCTGAGTACTGTTGGGGTCACCTAAAAACAAACCAAAAAATCAAATCAGGAACAGAGGGAGCTCAATGAGCTGAGCTTCGCATACACTTTGCATGTGGGGGTCACTGGTTCAGCCCCCAACACCATATGATCCCCTGAGCACTGCTGGGAGAACCCCCAAACCACCAACAGGTGTGGCACAAAGCCCAAGATATAAAATAATCAAAATTCTTAGGCATGCTGAAATATTTTAATTGTAGGCTATTTACTGCTGACAGAGGAGGGGTAGAAGTAACATGAACTGGCATTCGACTGTGGCAGAACGAAGAGAGGGAGTCAGTAGTGTCTGGGGCCCTGGCACACACTTTATCGGAACCACATCACCAGTTTCCTGCCTGGTGGGCTCTGTGCAGTCTCATCAATTTCCCGAAGGACAGGTCCATGGTGGAGAAGGCTGTGAGGATGCTTCCCAGTGAGTACCAAACACTGGGACAGGGCACAGGTCTATCCCCTGAGGAGACTGCTGACCTACTGACCTCCAGCCCAACCCAGAAGGACATGGCCCAGAGAACAGGGCAGGTAGTAGGGACTAGGCATCGTAATCCCTACCATCCTGGGCCAGTACTCTTTGGAATAGCAAAATGCCACAAATTCAGCCAAAAGGTCCAAAGCAGGAGAATAGTCATGGAATAAGAAAGTAAGCCGAGAGAGCGGTTCTGGCTGGCTCTGGGAAGGAGAAGCGAGGAATGAGTCAGCAGGACCTCATCTGACAGATGTCCATCAAAGGGGTTTCAGGAAGCTCCAGCTAATCCTCCCAGGATAGATTGTTGCATCTCGAATTCTCCTCCAAGAAGCGCCAACCACTGATACATACAAAGATGAGCTGAGCTTAGCTGAGCTTTGCATGTGAGGGTCCCTGGTTCAGTCCCCAACAACACATGATCCCCTGAGCAATGCTGGGAGCAACCCCCAGCGTCCACTCAGTGCCTGTCCACGCTGGGCGCCTCTGGGCTGTGGCACACAGGAGTCCCTGCCAATTCCAGACAAGTTTTTAGTCTCTAGAGACTCTCAAAGTCAAGGGCAGTAGGGAAAAATTCTGGATGATGCAAAGATCTTTTGTGAGTTCAATGGGGTTGGGCTCTGAGTGATGCTGGCTGAGTCATAACTTAACATTTTTCACTAAGAATGTTTTTTAAAAGTGTTTTAGGAAAAACAATAAACTGCAAATTTCACTGGGGGTGGAAGACAGACAATATTCAACATGATATAAAATACCCTTAAATTGATGAACTAAACAAAATAAGGAGGCCAACTCTGATAATATGGGGAATACCACAAACCTATTTTTATGGATGCAAGTAACTGGTTAGCTCTTCTGCGTGATAAATCTGAATCATCAGACCACTTTAACTGAAGGTTAAAATTATTGAGATTCTTGCATGGTCGATAATGAACATTGATGGATCCTTCATAAAACTGCTTGACAACAAAGCACTCCATCCATTTTGTGGGAAATTCAAGACCTAAACAAAGATCCATTGTCAGAGAGAATTCCACTATGACAAAAGGAGTGCACAAATTTTCTTCTTTGGAAGTCATTTCATTACACTGAACACTGTGTGAAACAAGCGACCAATTGTCTTGACCAGGGAAACATTTTGGTTGTGCAAATATTTGTGTTATGACGATCTCATTATTTATTATAGTGTGGTAATGTGATCTGGACTGTAAATATGGTTCCCATCCTCCCCAAATGATCAGTGAACAAGTGAGTGGAAGGACCCTGTCAAATTTTGATATATAGTTAAACTACAGTGTGATGTGACTGAATGAGCCAGGCCTAGCTGAGCAGTGATCAACTCAGAGGCTATTATGGTATACCTGATGGTCATTTTTATTATCTCCCTTTTGATGATATTCATCTTTTGCAGTACATTAATTTCATGTAGCAAATACACTGTTAAAACCACTTCAGAGAAGGAAATTAACATGACTCTCCTTGACCATCTCAGCATCTCCTGAGCATGTGGGTCAAAGGTGTGTGAGATGGATCCTTTCAGCAGGGACGCTATGCTGACATGGAATCAAGCAGAAAACTCTGGCTTTGAAGTCTGTAGCATGATTTTTGTTTCAAAGGATTGGTCTTTTAACAATGTATCTTTCTTAACAATGTATCTTCTGTTTGATTTATTCTACTTTGGCATCAATGACTCCTGAGCAAGTCTATAAAACGCACATGGGTGAGGAAATAGTATAGTGGTCAGGAGAACGATCAGAGTCCCAGTGCCACAGTCCTCTAAGCACTGCTGGGTACAACCCTGGGGGTTCCCCCCTATGCCCGGTGGGCCAGGTATCCCAGGCACTTCCAGGGCCCAAGCAGTACATCCCTGGGCCTTACATTAAACAATCCAGATGGGTGGGACCCGCCAGTGGGGTCCCTGGGCTTCCCAAGTACCACTTTCTTGGGAGACCTCAAAAGGAAGGAAGGCACACAGCAGACAAGGTACAAAGGCACACACTCAACCTGTGGAGATGACTTTAACTGAGTCTTCCAAGGCAGAGAAAACTAGTGGCAACTGAGAATCCACAGAGCAATTGAACCTCTTTTAAAACTCTTCAGTGGAGTACTACGCAGCTCTAAGAGAGAAGCAAATCATGCAACATGCAGCAACATGGATAGAACTAGAGGACATGCCGAATACTTCAGTCAGCAGGAAAGGGACTGATACAGAACGACCTCTCTCAGTTGTGGGACTGAAGACAGGCAGCAAGGTAGCAACCAAGAGCCAAAGGCAATATAATGGGAGAACTGATCCACACAACTGAGTTGGGGGTGGGCAGGGGAGGTGAGAAGGATGGGTAATGGGGTCCTTGGGAAAGGGAGGTACGTACACTGGTTGGAGGTGTGCTGATGGAATGACCTGCACAAGAAACTGTTATTAGTACTACGGTAAACCACTCAATCAATTAAAAAAAATGTTTTTACAAAGAACTCAGCATGACTGCGATCAGTTTGTCAACAGTGACCTATAACTGCAAAATGGAATGATGCTTTCAGAACGAACCAGAGAAACACAAGATAAAACAAAACAAAGAAAAAGAAAAACCCCAGCTGGCTCAAGTTCAGTGTCCTCTCCTACATGTGCCCTAACAGAGCCCACAGGTAAGCAGAATTAGGAGCCACCTGTCTCTGCATCTGACCTGCCGGGAAGCTGCTTGGTGAGAGAAGTTGTGTCCTGGCTACTCTGGGAATTCAAGGAGGAGCAGGAGCACCAGCAGAACAGCCCCTTGGAGGAAAGCACAGTGAGCCCTCTTGGATATGAGTAATTTGTAATAGGCCCCAAACGCTGATTCCAATGGCCTTCATCATCCCAACCAACTGCCTCAGGAAGGGAGGGGGTGGAGAGCTGGACCATGATTCACCTCGTTACCCACCAAATGTGGAAACGCCCCCTGCACAGAGATGCTCAGCCTTGACTGTGCATTCCCAGTCCCTAGGAGGTCTTTAGACCCTGCAGACCACATCCCAAGACTACAATATACAAGTTTTTTTGGGGGGATCCAGACAACATTTTTTAAAACCGCCCAGTGATCCAACGTGCAGGCGAAGTCGGGAAGCATGTCTACACCCTTCCTGCCCACAAGTAACTTCTCAGCAGCAGGAAAGCCCACTCGGAGACTATTTCCAGCCCTAGCGTCTGAGTACAGCAAGTGCAACGGGGTCGCGGGGGGCCGCGTGGGGGAACGTTTGGAGTGGGCGATCCAATTCGGTCACCCCCATGCTTCAGGGATAACCACTGCTGCAAAGAGTTTGCACTTCGAAATTAAAAAAAAATAGTCCTATCATTAGTCACCAAAGCGCCCTCGGATTAAGACGAATCTGTCGGGAAGGGCAGGTAGCATTAAAGGGGTGCCCCCACCGCCCGGAAAAGCTGACAGAACCATGCACATCCCGCAGACGGCCAAAACCCCTACATCCCCCCCCCCACCCCATACACACACACACACACACACACACACCGCCTGCAGGCGCCCCCGCCTCCCCCCCCCCCCCCCGCCCATGCCGGCGGGCGGGCGGGCGCGCGCGCGCCGGGCCGCGGCCGCTGCACCTGCCGCGCGCGGGCCGGCACCTGCCCGCCTGCCTACCTTCGAGCAGCTCGTCCAGGCTGGTGACCTTGCGGCTGCCGTCGATGGTGTAGATGGTGCGGACGCCCTGGGGCAGGTTCACGTTGTCGGACAGCGAGCGGGTGAGCTCGATGAGCAGCGCGTCGAAGGAGCGGAAGCGGTCGCTGGAGATGGCGCAGAGCAGGCCCTTGAAGTAGCGGTCCCCGTTGCGGTAGAAACGCGCCTTCTTGGCCTTCTTCTCGGAGCTCAGGGCCTGCAGCGTGCGCGTGCGGTAGAAGCTGCAGTGCGCGCTGTGCGCGGGGCTGGGGATGAGCCCGTTGCCCCGGGGGCCCGAGCCGCCGCCGCCGCCGCCGCCGCCCCCGGCCGAGCCGGGCGCCCCTCGCCGCGACCCCGGCCGCGGCCTTTTGTCCCGCTCCTCGAAGTGCTCCAGCTCGATGCTCCGGGTACTGGCCATCGCGGCCGCTCCGAGCCCCGCCGCAGCCCGGCCGGGGAGCGTCGGCGCGCGCGCGGGGAGGGGCGCGGCGCGGGGCGGGGGTCGTCAGAGCGCCCGCGCACCTGGCCGCGGCATCCCGCCCTCTCGGCGCAGGTGGGCCCGCGCCCCCGCTTAAAAGGGGCGGGCGGGGAGCCCCACGCCCCCCCAGGCGCCTCCCCCGGCCGGCCCCGCCTCGGGCCCGCGGCCGCACACACAAAGCTCGGGCGCCCGCCGCGGGGCAGGAAGGAAGCGGGGGGCGGGGCGCGGGCGCGGGAGGGGCCCCAGGCCCCGGGGCCCCCGCCTCCCCGCACCCGGGCCGAGCGCCGCCCGAGCGGGGGACCCACGCGGCCCGCCCGGGCCGCCACCGAGCATCCGCGGGCCCCGGGTGCGGAGGCCGCGGCGGGGAGCGCGCGGGGGGCGCGGAGCGGGGGCGCGCGCCCGGCCGGGACTCCCGGGCCTGCAGCCCCGCCCCGCGCCGCCTCGCGCGCCCCGGCGCCCGGGATCCACAAAGGAAGGAGCTTCAAGGGCAGCCGCGCAGCCCAGCGCCCGCTCCCCCCGGGGGTCGAGGGGGGTGCGTGGGTACCACCTGCCTCCCGCCGACGCCCGGCTGGGGATGGCCGCGCCCGCCGATGTCCCCGCAGGCGCGTCCGGCCGGGCCTGTCACTCCGATCGGACACGCTCGGGTCTGCGGGGGACTGAGAAGCACCGCACGGCCAACTGGGATGCTAACGCCGGAGCAGGCTGGGGAGGATGCGCTTGCCGGGGCTACACGGCCCCTCCCCCAGCTCCTTGCAGGCAAATGGTACTACCGAAGGTTTCTGGGAGCCTCTTGTTCTTAATGGGCCTGACATTTGTCAGCACCCATCATACTGGGCACGGTGACTGGCCGGTCTGTATTGAGAGCGTGTTCTCTGAAGGCTTGGGAAAACATCGCCTTTGAGGGAAGGGGCGGGGGGGGGGGGGGGGGGGAGAAGGCTTTGGTGATACGTAGCCTGGATCTGATAGGTGGGTAAAGCACTCTGAACTCAAGGGTATTTGACACCTGCTTCTCTGTAGACAACAAATTCTCACCTGGATAGAAAGGATTAGATGCTTTCCTTGCAAAGAACTGGATGGGGGTAGGGGCGGCAGGGAGATGGTACAGCCCATAGGATTGCATAGAGATAGCACAGCGGGTCCGGCATTGACTCCTGCATTGTATATGGTGGCCCGGAGCCCCACCAGAATGGTTCCCTAATGCGGCCTAAACACACACACACACTCGCACACAGAGTCTCGTCAAAGCCACCCTCCCCTCAAGAAATTCCGGAGACATGTCCCTTGGGCACATGGATTATTTGAAGCCAAAGTCAGTTGAGGCCTTGCTTGCTCTAACTTAGCCTTTCCCGAGATCTCTCCAGTCACCAAAGAAACCTTTACCACTACTATAGCTAAAGGAATGAAAATGAAAAGGGGTGCGGTGTCTTAGCCAGAATTAGGATTATTGGCAAAAGTAACCTATTTTGGGAGGCAGAGCACATCCTGTGGTGCCCCACCAAGTCAAGCCCCTAAACCGGCGTCCTGTCTCTCCCAGAAATATCTCTTCTATCTTTGGCCGAACATGTAAGACAGGCCAGGGAGGGAAAGTCCAGCTGTCTGGGCTCTGACCCCGCATCTCTCCAGCCTGACTGGATCTCAGGCACTGCAAGCGGCAAGTCCTGAGCACTGCAGGATGGAATCCAGTCCCCACCCTCTAAAATGCTCTCAGATAGATCTAATATGTGAGTTCTCTGTGTTCTTCCCTAAGGACCCAGGTTTCTAGCCCATTCTTTTTCTCGGGATATAAACTTTCCATAGCACAGCAGTAGGGCGTTTGCCTTGCACGCAGCCAACATGGCCGACCCGAGTTCGATTCCTCCGCCCCTCTCGGAGAGCCGGGCAAGCTACCGAGAGTATTCAATATGCCAAACACAGTAACAACAAAGTCTCCAATGGAGACGTTACTGGGCCCGCTCGAGCAAATCGATGATCAACGGGAGGGCCTTTACTTTTTACTTTACTTTCATTGTCTTTGGAATCTACACCCCTGAAGATTCCCCCTATGTATGTAATTAAATTTGGATTTTACTCTGTGCATCTAGGTGATGTTCATTTGATTGCCTGGCCAACCCAAGTAGAGCCCAGGAAAGTGGGGGAGATTTCCTCTTGTTCTCCACCCCAATCTGGAGAGGTGGGATGAGAGAAGGCAGAGACACGCTGTGGTTCTTGGGGAGCTGTGATACTGGTCCCCACACCTGTCAGTGCCCCTTGCTGCTCATTCAGAGCTCCATGGTTTCCCGACAGCATCTCAGGAATAGGCCTGACCAGACCTGACATGTAGAGCCAAGACTGAAGCGGGTTAAGACGTTAAAGCTGATCTGAAGATCTTGTGAAGGCAGAATATTTGGAATATAATGAGGCTGATAAAGAATAATGCACTTCATCCTGAACCAATTAAAGAAGACTTTCTGTGGATGGCCTTCTCCATTTAGCTGGTTCCTCCAGAGCTAAAGAACAATCAGTTAATCATTTGATTACTTGAATGACCAAAACTTCTTGGAGACCAGGGAGATGGTGCAAAGGGCAGCAGTGTATGATTTGCATGCAGGAGTCCCAGGTTAATTCCTCTGCAGCACATGGGCCTGCAAACACTGCCACATCCCCCCAAGAGCTCAGCTGTGAGCTCACACCTGAGAGGCATGAGATCCAGGATTCCTGAATCGGCCTCCTGCACCACACACACATGACATGCACCCTCTTGCAGAAGTCTGTCCTTGCTCTTCCCCCCAAGAAGGTTCTCTGGGGTTAAGAAAGCTCAAACAAGGCCGGGGGCATAGCTCAGTGGTAGAGTCATGTATCTCACATATTGAGGTTGAGTATGTATCTCACATGTTGAGGCCCTGGGTTCCATAGTAGACATTGAAAAATAACAAAAACAAGCAAACAAAACACCAGACTGACCTGATATGTGTAGTGCAGTGGTTGTGACAACACTCTGGTCTGGCTCTGACTATACCCAGAGCCTTGGGAGTAGCTTCTGTCTGCTGATAGGGGTCCTGGAGGCCTGGCTGGAAGGACCAGGGAGAAGAGACTGAGCCACAGAGCCCTCCTCACCTGCAGGCCCGGTTCACCCTTTAACAAACTGAAAGCACACTCCTGACATTTCTTCCCCATTTTCAGTGCATATCTTATCCACTGTATTTTCCTTAACTGCACCTGCCAACCTTTGCTCCCATGACTAGGCACGAGTGTGCCAAGAAGCTGCTACATGGGTATGAATTGTTATGTTACCCTAACACGGCTAGCCGCTCAACCCAGACGCCACTTCCTCTCTGAAGCTTGCTCTATGGCCCATTCTAACTAGACAGGGATTCCCAACTGAAGGTGGTTTAATGCCAACCAAGCTTCTCATTTCTATCCAGTTGTTTCTGCGCTTTTAGAAAAATGTGGCCAAGTGTTAAACACAGTAGCAGGCACCATATTGTTTGTGATCGAGTATTGAAAGTTACACACAGTCATTTCCACATGATTTGGGGGTGGGGGTGGGGGTGAGGGGCCACATCTGGTGGTGCCTCGGGGTTCATTTCTGACTTTGTGCTCAGGGATCACTCCTGATAGGGCTCAGGAAGCTCTATGCAGTGGTGGGGATCGAACCAGGTCAGTCCCATGCAAGGCAAGGGCCTTCCTGCTGTACTGTCTCTCTGGCCCTGCCCCCATGATTTTATAGGTCACAGGGATCGTTCCCATTCATTGTGGACAATACAAAGATGTGGCTAGTGGGAGTCAGGGATGCTTGGAGTCATCTCGCTGGCTCAATGCACAGGCTTCAAGCATTCATGTGTTAGGATGCTGATGGATGAACACTTTCTCAAACAGAATAAAGATACCCAGACACGCTAATATTATGTGCCAGTATTTAACTTTATTTTCTGAAATTTTATCCATGTTATTATTATTTGGCCAAACCTGGCAGTGCTCAGGGCTTACTCCTGGCTCTGTGCTCAGGGATCAGTCCTGAAGGTGCTTGGGAGACCATGTGGAGTGTTATGGATCAAACTGGGGATGGCACCATGCAAGACAAGCACCGTAATCCCTGTACTATCTCTCCAGCCCTGGAATGACCCTTTTTATTCTTGATATACATAGTCATTTTAAATCAGCAAGTAGTATCTAGAGGATGTAAATTTTTTACTACTGCTATTCAAAGAGTATCATCAACAACCTGGTTGGGATAGAATAAGCCAATCAGGCATGTATTTCTTTGTTTCTTTTTTTTCTTTTCTTTTCTATAACCACACTGGGCAGTGCTGGTGTAGGAGAGAGCAGTGTAGGGAGGCCTTTTCCAGTGGCTCTGAAGTGGGGGATCATGTGGTGCTTGGGAACCCCAGGGCCACAGCCTTCAGAGCTGTCTTCCTGCGCTATATGACTGGTTTTTGTTCTCTGTGCTTTGCCTTGGATCACTCCGCTGGGCAATGCAACCTAAGAGTTCCCTTTAGCCACATAGTAATTCACTCCTAGCTCACCTTTCCATTTTCACCTTGATGAAGAAATACAGGGAAAATTTGGAACAAGCATCATTTGTGTGAGGTTGAATTATATAACTTCTTGTGGAATTTTTCACAAGAAACTTGCCTTGGACAACTCCTTCATATGACTTTTTTTTTCCCACAAATACACTGGCTAGTCTTCCCGTTTGGCCAGAAACTTTAGCCTCTGTGGGCAGCCTTCCAGGTCCTCCATTATTTATTACACTAAGAATGCTTACAATCCTTTTCAACTGTGCTGTCCTGAGACTTTCTGCTGTCTCATGTTTTCATTCCTGCTCCCTAAGCCCAAGCGTTCCTCCTGTAAGTGAAAAATGATAAAACAACATATTCAGTGGAAGGGTCTGGTGATAATAGACTTGAAATTTTTTTAAACTGGACGTTCTATTCTTTTCATAATTTTTAATGGCATGAAAACTACCCCAACTCTCTGGCCTGCACTGAAACCAGAAAAATGGCTCACTGATCTCTCCCAGGTTGGTTTACCCTGGGAGCCTTGCTATCCTTTCAACCACAATTCTTGTAGCTCTTTGTATACAGATTGGCTACTTTTGGGCAAA